ATGATCAGCTTTTCTGGATGGGGTGAACTGGAGTTTTGATATGTACCTGAATCACTCTTCCCCGCTCCCCCACGGCTGAAGGGTCCAAGTCTCCCTGTTTTCTCCTAATGCCACACTTGGCTTCTTGGATGAAGCCTGGCCCAAAGTTGTTTGTTAAAATACATCAGCAGAAAAAGGAAAGGCTCAATGGAGGCTGGAGGCATTGTATCTGGAGGAGCCTGGGAATCACAACTGAGGTGGCAGAATCCCCTGTAGCCCCGGACAGAGGTCTGTATGTCTCAAACCAGAGCAGGTAGATAGGAAGTGGATGGAAGCAGCTCAATCTTAGCATTTTTAAAAAGGGTTCATTCCAGCAGGATCTCCCCAAAGCTCGAGATGGAGTGATAGGATAAGAATGAGGATCAGAAACTCATGTCTGAAGGCAACACCTTCACCATGAGCTGCTGAAGATGGGAGTTAAAGTTGCAAAGGAGGTCACAAATTACCCACTCTTGAATTAGAAGGTTACTAATCATTGTCTCTGGGGAACATGGTGGCGCTGTGGGTTAAACCGCAGAAGCCTCTGTGCTGCAAGGTCAGAACACCAGCAGTTGTAAGATTGAATCCACGTGACAGAGTGAGCTCCCATCGCTCGTCCCAGCTCCTGCCAACCTAGCCATTCGAAAGCATGTAAAAATATAAGTAGATAAATAGGTACCACCTCGGTTGGGAAGGTAATGGCATTCTGTGTCTAGTCGTGCTGGCCACGTGACCACGGAAACTGTCTACGGACAAATGCTGGCTCTACGGCTTAGAGACGGGGATGAGCACTGCACCCTAGAGTCGGACACGACTGGACTCAATGTCAAGGGGAACCTTTACCTTTACTTAATCTTGGTCTATTTACCCCCTTTTTATAAAAATGATGGAAAAAAGTGCAGAGAAGATTCTCTCTCTCTCTCTCTCTCTCTCTCCCTCTCCCCCTGGTCTGGTCTTCTGCTGTCAGGTGTAAGAAGATGTTTTGCACTGAAGCAAAAAACAAACAAACAAAAACCCCACCCCACCTTTGCCCACCAAGAGACCACTCAAGGACCAGAAAATGTGAGAACTCTTTCTTCTTTTAAATGACAAAAGAGGAGACCGGGTTCAGCCGGACTCCTGTACTCTTAAGTCCCATTGACTCCAAAGCACATCTCTTTGAGTCCTTGGCCTCCCTGCCCCGTCACGATTCCAAAAAGAGAGAGAGAGCGCGAATGACGCTGCTTAGGCTGGCAGTTTCACCACGGCTTTGGCCAGGTTGTTGAAAAAATTCTGGATGCTGCTTGGGAAGAAAGATTCCACCACCGACTGCGGGAGATTGCCGCCGAGATCACTCTGAAAGAAACTGAGCAGCTGAGTTTTACCGGCTTCCCTGCAGAGTGACAAGAGAAGGAAACAAGAAAAACAAAAGCATGAGAAAACCATTTCCTCTGCCAGCCCTGCATATTCATCTGCTGAGCAGGTAGGGCAGGATTTCGTGTTTTAATTGCCACTCTGCTTGGGCTTGTTCTCCCCTGCAGGTAGCTTGAGATGAGAACCCATGAGAACTTTCTGGTTTTTTTTTTTAAGTTTTATTGGATTCTTCTAATCCACCAACCTGCTCCCCTCAGAGGCCTTCAAGAAGCCCAGCAAGCTGCGAACCTAATGACCACAACCATTTTTCTTAACTGCGAATGAAGCCAAATAAAAACCTCTTCGTCTTTAAATGACTAGTAATAACTGCATGCTATCAAGTCAGTTCCAACGGATGGCGACTGTTCCCAAGGTTTTCTAGGCAGAGGGTACTCAGAGGTGTATTACCCTTCACTTCCTCTAGGGGCACTCTAGGACTCTGCAGCTTGCCCAAGGCTACCCAGGCTGGCTCCACTTGCAGGAGACACAGTGGCAAATTGAACTCCCAACCAGATACCTAAACCCCTGAGCTATTCTGCCAGCTAATTATGGCTTAGGGTGATCCTCTTCAGGATTTTCTAGGTAGAGAATACTCACAGGTGTATTACCATTCCCTTCCTCTAGGGGCACCCTGGGTCTGTGCAGCTGGCCCAAGGCCACCGAGGCTGGCTCTTCTCCCAGGAAGCAGAAAGGGGAATCCAACTCCCAACCTCTGGCTCTGCCACCAGAGACCTAACACACTGAGGGACCCAGCCAGTAGTCTTTAAGATACCACAGTTTTCTTTAAGGACTCTTGGTGCACCACCACAAGCAATCTCTGCACAAGGATTTGTGAATGCAATCCTCAGCCACACATCTCACCGTGGGACAGGAACGCAGATGCAGCCACAGGGATAATTGAGACCTCTCACAAAATTTGGTTGCGGTGGGCAACGGGGATGCTCCGCGTTGGTTGCTGCGAGAAAGAGGGATTGGAGGGGAAACACTGTGAGTTCTCAGAAGGAAAGGATGCTTTGTAATATCAGAGAACACAAAAGACCAGAAAAGCTGCACCCATCCTGGAAGGTGTGAGGAGGAAAAGAGAGTGGGTAGTGGGGAGGCAGTGGAAGCTAGCCACTCCAGTTCCACTGGGGAGGGGGGAGGTGAATCTGGTCCTGGTTTTAGTCCGAACTTTTCATCAAAAGAACCAAGCCTGCTTATTGGATGGGGCTCAGCCCTTCCTCCCTGGCACCCCAGATTGATCTTGCTGGGCATCTGTCAAGACCCACCTACCCAGGAAGCAGTTCTGTTTCAGACCTCTGGGGCCTTCACAGTCTTGCTGTTTTTCTCCCCAAGTTTACAGGACAAAAGGACGGTGAGTTGAAGCATCTTACCTGCAATAGTAATGCTCCCATCGTCATCTCGTTGAATCAGGACCACGTCTAAAAAGTCTCTCGGAGAGATGATTTTCATGAAAGCGGATGGTGTGGTAGTTCTAACAATGAGAATATTCTGCAAGTAGAAGCCAAGATTATGTTATACTGTATCTGCAAGAGCCGTTTCCAACTGTTTCGCTTATCCACAGTCTGAAAATATTTAAAATATTAAATAAAAAAAACAGAAATATTTCCATGATGTAACTACCAGAAATGGCCACTAGAAGGAACCAGAGACCATGATATGCATAGAGTTCACTATTATCTGTGGGTTTTTGGCATCTGCAGAGCGGCCTGGGCTCAATCTCCTTTGGATACAGTGGTCCTACCGCACATTTAAAATCAGATTTGCATTCAGGTTATGCAATAAAAGGGAATGTAATACCTTCACCAGCACTTAGAAAAGTGATTTTACTATTTCATAGTCAGTGATCATACAGACTGTGCATACTAAGGCAGTGCATCAGAAAGCTACAGTATAGTACCCTTTCTTGGGTGAAAGGGTTTGCTTTCCTCCCCCCCAGCAGAGGCGGTGTCCAATCCCCAAAAAAATCTGCAGTTCATCAAGACTAGGATTCAGTACATTCAGAAGTGGCAGGAACTCCTGGGAGCAGAGGTTCCGATCCTCGCCTACTGTCTTCCTAGCCACCACAACGGGCATGAGGCCATGCGCAGGCTGCTGGTGATGGCACTTAGCCAATCAGGAACCACAGCTCTTGCACCAGCTGGGGAATACAGGTTGTTCATGTCAGCAGTGGCACATAGCCAATCAGCAGCCCTGGTTTTTCAGTGGCATTAGCAAGAACACTTGATAGCGGGATGCAAGCTGCAGATAGCTGCCATTCTGGGCAACCTCTCCGCAGCCAAGTCCATGCAGGATGTTTATTAAGGTACGCCCAATGGATGTGGGGGGCAAGCTATGAACATCAGCAATACGGGATAGCCTATCAGCAACCGTTGACTCTTGCAGGGCCTTGGGTACGCTGCATTCCTTCCCTACTTGGATTTCCCCGTCTCCACCCTCCCACCACCTAGCAAAATGTCGTGGCTGCTCACGGGTCCGTTTGCCACCTCGCACGGCTGGCCTTTTGCAACTGCCCCAGCCAACTGCCCCTGTAAGGAAACACAACTTCAGCCTACTTACATCACCGATTCGTTCAATGACTTCCAGTTCCTTCACATTTTCATCCCATTTTGCTCTCAGTCCATTAGCCTTGGGGACAATAAATTTATACACATCCTCTAATTTGGCAGGAATAATTCCTTCTCCTTTGTATCTGTGTTTGGAGAAGGAAAAGGCACACGAGAGACGAGTGAAATTGAAACTCTTTTTTTTCCCATACGGTCAACTACGGTAGAGCCCACTCTTCAGTGCGATTAGTATAGATACTCTTAGTAGCAGGATTCGATTTAGACAGCACCTTTTTTGCTGTTATTCCATACTTCTTCTTTTTAATCCCCAAACTGAGAAAACTAGCACATGAGAAAGAAAGACTCAGGGAGCAGTTTCCCTAATGGACTAGCTTTCTACTTTCCAGGAAGACATTTTCTGTTTGTTTTACATCAGGAGTGGGTACGTTTGGAATGCAGATTTTAGTGAACACTGTTTTAATAGTGAACACTATCCAGAGCATCATCTCTGGCTCTCTTTAGTGGCTAGTTCTGGTAATGACATTGTAGAAATACATATATCTTCGATTTTTCTTTTAATATTTTAAATATTTTTCAGACCATGATTAAATGAATCAGTGGATATTGATCCCACACATATGAGGGTCCTAGTGTACTTATTTTACAAACAGCACTGAAATGTGCCTTGCACCACCCCATGTCCCATCTGATGTAGTACATTCTAATGCCTAATGAATTTACCCATTATTACTCTGTATAATGGGTAAATTCACTCTCGCGTCCAGATATTTAGGGGCCAGAGTACCTGAGTACTTCCAGACCAGAAATGTTCCATCTCCACCACAGGCCCCATATTACACATTATATATTCTTTACAGCTTTTTTTTAAAAAGCAAGTTCGTATTTGTTGCTTTATTTTTCAAGAAAAGCAGCTAGAAATGTGAGCCTTATAGTAACACAGACGCAGCCTTATCCCTCAAGCCATCCACCTCAGACAGAAACCTGCTCCATTTTTGTACTTACAGCCTTCCATTAAATTCAGTCGAGGGCCTCCACGAAACCGCAACTTCATTCTGTGAGGGGGAAAAAAGAAAACCATGTTTCAATTTACAATGTCCAGGAGCCATACAGTAGTGTTCTCCCCATAACAATTCTGTTTGTGTGCAACATTTCTCAATTTTAAGTACAGTAGGATACACACACCCCATCCTCGGCTTCAAATATTTATCTTGGTAGCTCCTCGCAGGAGGGTGGACAGCTCATGAATGGTTTGGCAGCTAATTAATTGTTTAGAGTAATTTAGGAAAAAAGAGAGAGCATGCACGAGAGGGGACTGAATTTCAACCTCATATAAGACCTGTTCGTTCTGCAATCTGTATGTTAATTTTATTGTTTATATTATATTGGAAGCCGCCTAGAGTGGTCTTATAGGCCAGATGGGTGGGATAGTAAGTAAGTAAGTAAGTAAGTAAGTAAGTAAGTAAGTAAGTAAGTAAGTAAGTAAATAAATAAATAAATAAATAAATAAATAAATAAGGGATGAAGTTGGAAGGGAGTTTGAACGCATCTGAAGAAAAAAGGGGCTACAGTCCATAGGATCGACCTGAGGTCCCAGTGTTTGTGCTACAAAAGATGAATGGGGCGACCCTCCCCAAGTGGAGAAAGCTAGCACTAAAATAAATAGGTTGGCTTTAAAGGTGTCACCTTGCATATAACCGGGAACTGCATTTATAGAAACCCAGCCAAATATAAAATACTCATAATCTCCCCTACGGATGAAAAAGAAGAAAAGTAACCAGGAAGGCAAACATCTGAGGACATGCAAAATAAAAAAAAAATAAAACTTTTAACAAAAGCTGCAACATACTGGCACAAACTGAATGGAGACAATATAACAAAACAGAGCCCAATGTAGCGAAATGAGAATTTAAAAAATTGTAACAAATGAGCAAAAAATGAAACAGCAAAAATCAACACCAAAGTATCACGTTAAAAGAGAAAGTCTGGAGTCTTTTTTGGTTTGTCATAAAGGCTTGGAAAGACTCACAAAGCGCGGCCCCAAAGAGGTACAGCCCGCGTTGTGGTCTACC